GACGGAAGGACGTCCAGCGCAAAGAAAGGTTGAAATGAGGGCAAAAAAGCCAAAAAATGAAAGGTAGGGACGTTTTCCACAATAGACTTGAAAAGTAGGGACGTTTTGTGCCAATTACCCTTTAATTAACGGAAAAACTGACGGAATATGGACGGAAGGACGTCCAGCGCAAAGAAAGGTTGAAATAAGGGCAAAAATGCCAAAAAATAAAAGGTAGGGACGTTTTCCACAATAGACTAGAAAGGTAGGGATGTTTTGTGTCAATTACCCAGTCAAAAATAATCATTGAATTTAAAAAAAAAAAAAAAAAAATTCAAGGTTATTGAACTTTAAAAATCACATCATTCATCATTGAACTTTGTAAAAAGTTTCCCAGTGACCCTATGGAAACGTTTTGCAAAGTTCAGTGATGAATTAGGTAATTTTTAAAATTCAGTGATCTCGTGGAAATATTTTGCAAAATTCAGTGATGAATTGAATGATTTTTAAAGTCCAATAATCTAGTGAAAATCTTTTACAAAGTTCAGTGACTATTTAGATAATTGGGTAATTGGCACAAAACGTCCCTACCTTTTAAGTCTATTGTAGAAAACGTCCCTACCTTTCATTTTTTGGCATTTTTGCCCTCATTTCAACCTTTCTTTGCGCTGGACGTCCTTCCGTCCATATTCCGTCAGTTTTTCCGTTAATTAAAGGGTAATTGGCACAAAACGTCCCTACCTTTCAAGTCTATTGTGGAAAACGTCCATACTTTTCATTTTTTGGCATTTTTTCCCCGCATTTCAACCTTTCTTTGCGCTGAACGTCCTTCCATCCATATTCTGTCAGTTTTTCCGTTAATTAAATACAAAAATACCTTTTTCTTTCCATAAACAAGGGTAAAATTGTCCTCACTCACTTCACCCCTTTTTCCCGCCTTCAACTTAGTCCATAAGTAACAGTAGCACCAACATGAATCTGAAAATATTTTAAATGATTAAGTTAAATAAAGAAAAAATATCGTGAACACATTATTTTTCACAATTCCACAACTACTGTTGCTGTTATCTTGTGTCACTGGAAAAATTTAGAAAGACATATTAAATGGGTAGTCAATTTATAATGAGTCATTCATCTTCTCCATTGAGCCAAAAAGAGTCATTCACCATTTTTGCTCATTATAAATTGACTATCCATTTAATATGTTTTTCTAAAATTTTCCAGTGACACAAGATGACAGCAACAGTAGTTGTGGAATTGTGAAATATAATGTGTTCACGATATTTTTCTTTAGTTAACTTAATCATTTAAAATATTTTCAGATTCATGTTGCTGTTACTGTTACTTATGGACTAAGTTGATGGCGGGGAAAAAGGGGTGAAGTGGGTGAGGACAATTTTACCTTGTTTGTGGAAAGAAAAAGGTATTTTTGTATTTAATTAACGAAAAAACTGACGGAATATGGACGGAAGGACGTCCAGCGCAAAGAAAGGTTGAAATGAGGGCAAAAAAGCCAAAAAATGAAAGGTAGGGACGTTTTCCACAATAGACTTGAAAGGTAGGGACGTTTTGTGCCAATTACCCTTTAATTAACGGAAAAACTGACGGAATATGGACGGAAGGACGTCCAGCGCAAAGAAAGGTTGAAATAAGGGCAAAAATGCCAAAAAATGAAAGGTAGGGACGTTTTCCACAATAGACTAGAAAGGTAGGGATGTTTTGTGTCAATTACCCTTAGATAATTCACTCATGAATTGGAGGTAAAAAGTTTTTGTTTTAGCTTTTTATAAGCTTCGTTTGACTCTCATTAAATTAAATTTTATTTTTCTGTCTCTTATTTTGAATCGCACAATCTTCCATAAAATAATATTACACGTAAATCGAAATTTTTTTTCTTTTTCAATCACTCATTCTTCAAAAAAAAAAAGTATTCTACCCATTATAATTTGAAACAATGTGGGCCAAACGAGAGCTTATTTTATTTTCTTTATTTACTCATTTTATTAGTCACAAACTAAAAATTATTTTTTCTTGTACAGAAAACAAACCCTTCATTCAATCAAATCATCCCGAATTGAAAAAGAAAAAAAAATAGAGGAATCCAACCGGTCCACCTTACAAAATTCCTATATAATCTTCTAAGTATATGGATCATTCTATTTTGCATTATCGGTTTTTTCTTTTTAAATTGATATTGCAAGATCCAACGAGACGAAGTATTCTCATTATACATGTTCAAATTGACTAAAATCGAGAATTAATTACCGCATTTAATTTTTTGAACCATCCCAATCATATGAATTTTCTATTTTTTTGCATGGAATAAAATCACGATTAAATATTATATTCTAAAATATAATAAAATTATGTATAATAGACCTCGAGATCAAGGAACAAAATTCCAAGTTCGATATTATAAAATAGTACAAATGACATCAAATAATGGTATTTATTAATAACTTTAAATGAAAAGAAAACATTTATGTACGATCAAATTCCATTCTAACTTTACGTATCACATATATTTACTAAAAATAGGGTGTGTTTGAGCCCCATTATTTGAAATTATAATGAGATGAATAGTATTTTTTTTTAAAAAAATAAGTGGTTGAAATTTTTTTGATTTACGTGTAATATTATTTTATTGAAAATTGTGTGGTTAAAAATATGAGAGAGAAAATTTTAATTTAATGTAATGAGAAATAATGGGGCTTAAACGGGGCTCATAACAACTATGTTTTGAATTCCCGGTGTTTGATTCCATTCTTTTAGGAATCATTTTCTTTATTTTGTGTATAAAAAGACACGTTTGGTATACATTTATACATAACACTTGACACTATCGTATCTAAATTATTACTTATTTTTCTTTTAAAATTTTGATTATTGCAACCCAATTCAAGACATCAAACATGTTATAAAGATTGTAATTGGGAAAAAAAGAGTGTAAATAACAATTTAGTATTTTGTTGCCAATTATTCATTGCAATTTACAGCTAATGACAAATTTGACACTTTAAGAGTAATTAGGTGTTAGATTGTCTTAAAGATGTTTATATTTCAACAATTAAGTTGTCAGCC